CCCTTTTTTTTTTTTTTTTTTTTTTTTTTTTTTTTGTTACTGTGAGACAAGAGTCTCGGCACTGATGTTATGGGGTAGCCTGCTTCTAACTGGCTTGCCAGCTAAACGTTACCGTGTTCTGGGATGCACGCCTCTCCCTCGGGAGTCAGATTCCAGGTTCTGCTCTTAAACAGAATTTAACGAAACGACCAAAAAGCATTGGTAATGTTTGTTCAAGAACTTTAGTTTCGTCCTCTATAATACGGGGATAATAATACACACCTTAGAGAATTATTGCAAGGGTTAGAAATCTCATAAATAATTAGTATAGTTCTTATTGTGTCATCAGTCTCAGAAACAGGGCAGCTGCCATTATTTTTATCTATCCTAGCCAGCTTCTGGGCGGTCTCAGACCACTGAGGAGCATTCCTGCTTTCATCTCCTGCATCCCCCAACTCATTTTACCATCCTATTTTTGTCATTGCTCATGCCACATGTGTTCTGTGACTAGCTAAACTTAGAAAATTATAATGGACAAAAGAAGAGCAGGCCATTAAGTGCTCACAACAAATGGCATTAGCTGACTGACATGGAAAATGCTGAGCTAATATTTATTTGGACTTGGTCTTGTTTTTCTAATGTGAATATTGCTCCACTGCTCAGGATACTGCTATCTGAGTTGTCTGTTGTTAACTGAGTTGTTGAATCTAAGAGCCTGCCCAGAGATTAGGCCAGTGGCAGTATTCTTTTGTATTTATTTAGGCATGCTTGATGATCGAAGAGATGGTCTGTTTTGGGAAAAGTTCTTTGTGTTGCTGAGAAAAACATATATTCTCTTGCTGAATGAAACTCTGCAGATGTCTGTTAAGTCCATTGGTTCAGTAGAAAATGCAATAATCGTGGTTATTTAGGGTTGTGTGTGATTCTTGTACTTGAACATTGGGTTATTCTCTCCACTTAGAAAGTTTCAGGCTATGATTTCAGTGAATACGTTTTTTGTACCTTTTGAATGGTCTTTTAATTTTTATTATATTTTTATAATTCTGAAGTTTTTGTAGTCATCTCACAGCTGTTGGATTTGGCCTGCATGGTGCCATGTCATTTTTAGGGTATCATTGAGTTTGGATCTACTATATCCACTTTATCTTCAGTTTCTGACACTGTTCTCACAACGCTAGTCATGCTTTTGATTGAATTTTTCATGTCTTGTATGTCTGCCTGCTTTCTTTTCATAATTTCTAATTCCTTACCATATTGATCATCCATACTTTTTACTGCCTAGTTTAACTCCATTAGTTTGTTTCTCCTTTAAGCTTGTTGATATACTTAATGAAATCCTCTTTAAGTATATAAATATACTATGAAATTGTTTATGTGTTTCTTCTTTGAGTTTTTCAAATATTTTAACCATTTTGCTTTTGGATTCTTTGCTTGTAACTTTCTCTACTTCAGTGTCCTTTAGATCAGCTTTTGAGGTGCTAAGGGCTTTAGGGGGCATTTTGTTGCTTTACTTTCTCGTGCTTGCTCCTCCCTCCACCTTCCTTTCTTTCATCCTTTGCATGCTATGGGTGGAAGATCAGCTAGGGCAACCCTCCCCCCCAAAAAAAAACTTCCTACTGTGGAGAGATCTCTTCAATTACAATCTGTCTCCTTGTGCTGTGTTCTTGTGTTTGGTTATATTTTGAAGTCTGTACCCCTTTTCAACCCATTAAGAGTAATACCTGGTGGTCTTTTTAGTGTCCAGACTTCTCTTGGGGGCTGGTCTCCCCATCCAACTGGAAGTTGGTTTAGTGTTCCAGACTGCTTTGTTCTTTTCTCTGTGTTTTCTTCAATTTTTCCAATTTCGCTGGTTTTCTTGTGGCTCTTTCCTGACTCCTGGAGCTCCTATTCCTTTTGTCTTCTTTAAGATTCTAGGTCCTTGAAATACCGTGATGTACCGCCAATCTTCACTCCACCATCTTCTATTCACCACTTCAACAAACATTTACTCTCAGTCCTGGTTTTCCTATGCTATGGTTCGACTTCTGGAACTATGCAGTTTATGACAGCGATAAATCCATATATTCAACCTCCATCTCACACACTTAGAGAAGTCAGTCACAGTAGTTGTGGCAACTGACTCATGGGTTGTTTCTTTGGTGTTGTGTCCAAAAACTCATCAACAAACTCAAGATCACCTAGATTTTTATCCTATGTTATATTCTAAGAGTTTTATAGCTTTAACATTTTACATTTAGGGTTGTGATCCATTTTGAGTTTCTTTTTATGGACAATGTATGCTTTCTCCCCCTTCCCCACCCCACATCAATCCTTTCTTCAACTCTTCAGACACCAAACTGGATATGCTATAATTTGATTCTGATACTTTTTACCTGGAGTTAACATTATACCCTGCAAGTTAAGAAGTCCACTCAACTGCCTGTACTCCAGATGTCAATCTGAAGTGCAGATTGTAACTTGTGCTTCTGACTGGCTAAAAATCAGGAGTGTTATTGTTTATATCTATCTATATGTTCCCCAGGAGCCTCATATGCTCTTAGGTGGGGCTTTTGGAAGGTGATTGGATTATTGGGGTGTGATAGCTGACTTGCTGTTAGGAGGTGAGGTGATTGGAGGAGGTGAGTCACCAAGGCCATGACTAAAAAGAATATATCTTCCTTCTCCCCTCTTCCCTTTACTTTCTCTGCTTCTTGGCTACTGTAATATGAGTAATTTTTCTTTGCTATGTCCCTCTGCCATGCCTATTCTGCCCTGGAGCTGGCTGACAAAGGATTGAAAAGTGAACCAAAATAAACCTCTCCTTTAAGTTGTAGGTGTCGGATATTGTACCTCAATGACAAGAAAGGGACTGAAACAGTTTTGGTATTGAGAGTGGGGTTGTTGCTATGACCATACTTGACCATGTCATTTAGATGCCTTTGGAACTGGTTCACCAGAGGAGTTTGGAAAGATCTGAAGATGCCAGCTAGAGAAGCTGTAGAATTGATGGGAGAATTTGATGGAAGATTCTGGTTAGAGTTCAGGAGACCAGGGTGCTGATAAAAATGCAGACAGCAAAGGCCAGGTTCAGGAGGTTTCAGTTGGGAACAAAGACTCCATCAGCAGTTGGACTTGAAATCATAGGTGTTACAGTCTGGGAGAAAATTTAGTGCTCAGCTGTCCAAGCACTCAGAGGCCTCTTCAGCAGTGGCCTAATAGGGTTGGAGACGTGGAAGATTCAATAGGTGCCCTAATAAGCTGGAAGCCATAAAACATGAAGGATCAAGTATGCGGTACCAGTACAAGAGTAAAGTCCTGGGAGCTACCTGGAGAGTAGCTAATATGAGTTCACACTGAAAAGCTGAAGAAACTGGAGTCTGATAACACAAGCAATGGCAGAAGCAAAAGTTGTACTACCTCAAGCAAAATGGAGCTTTTCAAAGGCAGGCTGTCTTCATCCCTCTTCTCCTTACATTCCATCCAGGCTAAATACCTGTTGGATGGTGCCCCCCACAATCAGGGTGGGCCTCCTTCCCTTAGTTTTCTGGCCTTTATGCCTGTCACCTCTGGAAACACCCCACAGGTGCACCCAAAAGTGTGCTTCAGTAATCTTCTAGGCATTTCTTAATCCAGTCAACTTGAAAATCACAGTTAGTGGTCACATTGGCCAAATATATATGTGTTTGTGATATGTGTTTGTGTGTATATGCACAAATATATCAGTATGTATATATTTATGTATAGTAATCCATGTGTCTCTGTGTATGCACACATGTATATTAATATATATATATGTATATATATATATACATATATATATATTAGTTCCCACTTTTCTACAATTTTTGTTTTTCATGGTTTTAGCTGCTTGTAGTCAACTGTGGTCTAAAAATATTAAATGGAAAATTCTAGAAAGAATTTATATTTTAAATAACTATTAGAGTATATTATTCTAATTGTTCTTTTTTAATGTTAGTTGTTTTTATTAATCTCTTACTGTACCTAACTTATGAATTAAACCTTACATGTATATGTGTATAGGAAAAAGTACTGTATATATAAGGGTCAGGACTATCTATGGTTTCAGGCATCCACTGAACAAATCCCCAACATATAAGGGGGACTGCTGCATCTCAGTCATAGATCAGGTGCTATTACTCAGATACCTGGCATATCACTTGAGGACAGAGGTCATTTTAACCAAGGTGATGGGGTTCTCTCCATCCCTCCTGTCAGTGGTGACCCCTCCATGTTTCATGTCAGGGAGGTGATGGAAGGCTATGGCTGAGTGGGGACCTTTGACTTCAGACAGATCAATGTCTTATATATGCTGTGTGACTTGGGCAACTCATTTCACCTCTCTAACTCTCTATTCTGTAAAAAGGATGTTAAGAGTACTATGGCTACTTTATTGGTGCTGTGGCTATGAGGACTAAATGAAAATATCCAGGCAGAAAGTACAAGTATAAAGCTTGGAATATAATGAACATCGCATAAATGTTAATATCATGACTGTCTTGTTACATTATCTTACCTGAATCCCAAGGCTCAGATGAATAGACCTTGTCTGTGTTAAATCCCTGTATCATGGGCCAATGATTATATAATTCAAGGAGCAGACTTTACTGACCCTGATTCCATGAAGCTTTTCCTTTTCTTGTAGCTTGGGGGTATATTGGCATCATGATGATATTGATTATATACAACTGTTGGTTCCTTTACTTCCCTTATTTGACATGGCTCTACTTTGGTTGGCAGACCCCAGAGCAAGGAGGCAGGAGATCCACCCATGCCAGAAGCTGGACTTTATGGAGATAGTTTAAGAACTATTTTCCAATTCATGTGAGTAAGATTGTTTTATGCAGTGTTATTGTAAGTTGAGAGAAGAGTGGAAATTTGTTTTCATCATATACAACTAAAGCCTTTCCTTTACAAAAGGAGTGTCTCAATCCATTGTGTACTCCTATTATGGAAACTAAGTATATTATATAGAAAATAAATTTATTTCTCACAGTTCTGGAAGCTGGAAGATCCAGTATCAACATACCAACATCAGCTGAGAGTTCTATTACTACATCATCCCAGAGCAGCAGCAGAAAAGCAAGAAAGGCTGAGAAAGAACAGAAGGGGACAGAACTTGTCCTTTTAGAAGAGCCCATTCCCACAATAATGGTGTTCCCCTATTTACTTTGCCCTTGTGGCCTGATCACCTGTCAATACACACCACCTTCCAACACTGTGCATTAGAAATTGACTTTCTCATTCATGTTCTTTGGAAGACACATTGAAACCATAGCAGGAAGAAAGCCTGCACATTGACTCATGCTATGAAATGAGCTTTCAGCTGAATCACCAGAATCCAGAAGGCTGTTCCTGAAGGGATCTGGGCTTAGAGGGTAGCTTAGATATTCAGAAATAAACCCAACCCAGGGAATGTGTTCTCTATTTCTGCTTTATATAAGAACTAATCATGAGTCCTTTTTTTTTTCATTGAAACTAAGAAGGGGACATTTTATTTTTTTTATTTCAATATGCACATGCAATAGCTCATCAAAACTCACCATTTAGATCCATATCACAACTATATATTTGGGGTACACCCCCATGGAATATTTGTGGTTGGAGGCTTTGGAAATTTTTGTACAAATTACTCAGACTTCAAAAGCTGTTTCCTGGCTTAACTTCATATCTTCATATGATTTCATGTTGGTTTTGGTACCCTCTCTTTAAGAATATCTGAAAAGCAATGGTAAGTGCTGGCAGGTCACTATTTTTAGGTGCACTAGGGTGGCAGGAGCACAGAGAAAGTCTATGTGGGTTAAATGTCCTTTGAGTAAAACCCTGGGCCATCTCCCCTACTACACACTTTATATGCTCCCTGGATATTCCTCCTCTTTCCCACTGGAATGTTACTGCTAGAAACATATAGACTGTATCTTTTTTTTTTTTTCCTGTTCCACCCCAGTACGTAACATTAGGAACATTTCAGTAAATATCAATCCAATGAAAGAATAAATTAATGGATGCATTTTGTATGTCTAGAGGTAGAAAAAACAATCATAAATCTAAAAAAGTTTATAAATCACTCCTCCTGAGAGACATTTTGTATACTTACATACTAGAAATGAAAAATATCCCCCATTGTGTCCTGAAATAATGGCAGTGATATAAACTAAAAAAATTCAGCTTTCTGTCTTTGTACCCCCAGAAAAAATATGACTGGCTTCATTAAAAAATAAAATTCTTGGGGTTGGTGGTAGAGTGCTTGCTTGCCTAGAATGCATGAGCCTTGGGTTAGAGACAGAGACACAGAGAGGATTTTAATTTTACTCTCTTACTCTGAACCAGTGGAATACTCTCTGCAGAGTGAAACTGTAGCAATTTCTAAGAGTAAAATTAATCTGAAGTATTATGAAGATACTTATAAAGTATATAGAAACCCAAGATTGTGTTGCTAGCTCTCATTCAATTTAAGAAACTCAGTTTAGTTAGGTTTTCACCTTGATCAATCTACTGACTAAACATGAACTGCAGTAATGTATAAGGTTTTATATTTATGGAAATTGTGTATTATACTTCCTGGGTATAAAGAAAAATGGATAATCTTGAAAAATTGTAATATCAGAGTCTACAAGTGGCATATTTAGGGAAAGAATCTTCTGTGATTTTCCAGATTTTCATCACTTCTTATTAATTTCTCAAAACACTATCATCATTATATATCTAGTAGGAAACTATAAAGCATCAAAGCACCAGAACCCTTACCTGAGTTTTAAGGTTCTGTTTCTATTTCTAGGCCCATTAAAAAGCTCAGTCCAGGGTTCCCTAAAATCACCACGAGAGGGCACACTACACCCCTGCCCACCACCCCAACTACCAGAAGTTATCATGTGTGCTCTACCGGGTGCCCTGACCCAAATTACCTAGTGATCTGATATCTGACCTCTGGAAGGCGCTCAAAGTATCTTTCAAATTATCAAGAAGAAAAACAACCCTTTTCTCCTTCTTTTTCAGACATTGGGGTTAGAGTGCTAGAAAAGGGAGACAGTTAAATAAAATTTTTTAAATTAAAAAAATCACAGAAATATATTTATATTATACTGTTTGCTATTTCAGAGTATAGCCACAGGTGAATTTGACTAGTGTAATTGAGAGCAGGTGTGGCAACTTTATGGCATGAGACACACGGGTACTTCTCTATCCATGGCAGTGTCAGACATAAGCAGTCAATCTCAGAGTTTTCTCCAAACTGTGCCCACAGACATTACCACTAGAGTTGGCCTTAAAATGAAACCTGTTTTCCATCTCTGATTTATGATAATCATGCAATCTTTTTCTTTGCCTCAAACTTCAGTGTCTTAAATGCTAAATAAAAATATCTGAACTTGTAGCCAGTGGAGGCTCAGGCTGTCCTTGTCTCTAATAGAGAGTTTTCAGTATTCCTCTCAGAAAGCAGCACTCACCAAGTGTCAGCTGGAGTAGACTGCGTATGTCAAGGCTCGCAGTCCTCTCTGCCCATTAAGACTGGGCATGTCACAGTATCCCAGTACAACCGCCTTGCATGCATGCAGAGGACTTTAGATTGTATCACATAGGTAAGCCACAGGGAACTGGTGAAGGATGTTGTGCAGAAAGGACCCAGTGGGATTTTGTTAGAAAGGTCACTTAGACAGCAGCTGGGAGAGAGGTTGAAGGACATAAGCCTAGAAACTGTGGTGATGGGACAGCCCATTGCAGTGATCAAGGTAGTAGGGAGGAGGGCCAAACTATTGCAGTGGCTTTGATGGAGGCCTACATACAGGAGCTTGTCAAGGTACTGAGACATGACCAGAGGCACTGGAAATCCAGGAAGCCCCCTTGGCAGTGGGAGAGATCCCTCAGTTCCCACTGAGCTCACACAAAAGAGAATGGAGCATCATGAAATTGCATAAAGTTCTTCACCCTGTAACCTACCTCACTTTTCCTTTGTCTTTTGAGAAAGTGGTCATTCAGAATCCTGTCGTGATTTTACATTCCCCCAATGGTAGGAACTCAGAGTGAAATTAACAAATCATTTCCTTTATAAGATGAGGTATCCTAAATCTTTATGAAGTCTAATATATTCTGCTATGATTTATAAATGGATAAAACTCAGAATGGAAGGAAACATAGACCATTAAAAAGCAATTATATTTGAACTGTAGGTCATCACTGGTTTGTATTTTCATCTTTATTCTGTTTTCTTTCAAGTCTATACTGGAATTAAAATCTGAAAAAGAATCTTAAGTAATTTTTACTTAGGAAATCTTGATATATAGACTGACTATAACTTTCTTAACTATTTGCTAAACCCAGACTGCATATCAAGAACATGACATGCTGTGCATTGAGCAGTTCAGGGGGGCACTTTGTACACAGAATGTAAAATAAGGGGGATCCAAGCAGTCTATCAAAACATTAGATCTTAAAAAAAAATCCTTAGATCTTATCAATGGAATTGTATTGCCAAAGATTTGGCTATGAAAAAATTACAAACTTACACAGAGATCCAAAGCTAAATGTAGGACATTCTGTTAAATGTTCACCGTTGGCCATAGGATGTTGTAGGAAATTTTAATTTATAGAAAGGAAGGTCTAGTTACCCTTTTTGCTTTATTCACTAAAGAGTTTTTGAGTTTCTAAGAAAGCTTTGTCCTACCTGTTGAGCAAGGAGGTGTAAATGTTTCAGTCATCAACCTTAGGGGTGCCAGAATCACTGGATATCCATCCCAGGAAATTCACAGTGTTCAGAAAGGATTTGTGAAAATTGCTTTGATCTATGGATAAGTGTTATTTTTCTTAAGGTAACTGGGTCAAAAAGACTAAAACATTATTAAGTGAATACAAAGAAGGAAAGTAGCTTTTCTATCCCTTAAAAACTGTGTCCAAGTTAACCTTAAAATAAAAGCAGATATGGTAGCCTAGCTTGGAACTTTGATTCTTCTATAGAGTAAAATCCCACCAACAGCTGGCTTGGGGAAAGTACCTCCCTAAAGTATTTCATTATAATGCAGTTTTCATGTTTCAGACAGGAAACTAGCAAGATAGTATGGAGAGGCTTGAGCACACTTAAAAATTTTTAGGTTTTTGTTACAAAAGCCCATTGGACAAAATTAATTATTTCAATCCTTTTCCTAAATTTCTATTCTTGCCTTTTATTATTTGCAGTGCCTACTTGGTCCCAGTGTATTGTTTTAGTGAGAATGATCTGTATAAGCAAATTCAAAATGCTAGAGCCTCCTAGCTTCAGACAGACTCCAGCAGATCATGTGTTTTGGTTTGCCACTGTTTTATGGGAGAGGAATTTTTCAGTGCAGTTTTGGGCCAGTGTCCCATTGGGAACCTATGCACACTATTGGTATGTACATATAATGAACACAACTATTATCTTACTTGAAGCAGTGCTCATTGTTACTGACCAAGGGGCTAATACAAGAGAATTGGCTTTGGTATGGACTTCCTAGATAAATAATCTGTAGATATTATTTGAGCTTTAATTTACTCTATGCATTTTATTTATGAAAAGGCTACACTTTCAATTAGAGTGGGAATCTATTACTTTCATAGCTGTTGAACTACAAGTAGGCTCTAGTTTTAGAAATAAAGTTTCTCATACTCTGCAATGAATCTGTTTCTCTTTGCCAGCCATTTTTTGTCTTGTCATTTCTTTGAAGAACAGGTTAACATGAGAGTCTATTAATCAGGCAAAGTTCTGTATAATAATATCTTCATCAGAGTCCGTTCACATAGATGTCAGTTTTCTTTTTCTTTTCTTTTTCTTTTTTTTAACAGTTTAATGTATTTTTATAGCAAACTTACAGGAGCAGCACAGAAAGACAGACAACATTAAAAACATGTACTAACATGTGAGACAACTCAGAAAAATATAGTGACTAGATGAAATCTACTGTATGATAAAAATGCTACAAACACCATTTAGTTGCCATCAATATGAAATTTACTTGTTTTCTTAAAAACACAAATGCTGGCATTGTCTAGAAAAATTTAACAGGTTTATTTATAATTGTAATAAAATTGAACTGCTGAAACTTATTCAATGAAACATTTTGACTTGCATTAATGCCTCACATTCCTTCATTAATATTAAAAATTCACACACAAATGAAAATGGAAAAACTGCCAATACCTGATTTCTGTCCCCTATTTTCCACTTACAATCATGCACTTAGGTACCTTTTGACCCCATAGGGGGGAAAAAATCTAACATTTGAAACTACCAATGACAGGAAGAAGAAAAAATTTTGAGAATGCAATGTTTCTCACCATAGTGGACTCTTAAGCACACTCTTCACATATGCAGTGTGCTAGTTGGATTCTTTTGTCCTAATTGTTACACATTTGGCATGGATGGCACCCAGGTTGGTATCTTCAAACAGGCCAACCAGATAGACCTCACTTGCCTCCTGCAAAGCACCAATAGCTGCACTCTGGAAGCACACATCTCTTTTGAAGTCCTGAGCAATTTCTTGCACCAGACGCTGGAAAGGGAGTTTGTGAATCAGAAGTTCAGTGGACTTTTGATTAACATCTAATTTCAGGGAGTGCCACAGTCCCCAGCCTGTATTGATGAGGTTTCTCCACCCCTTCAGGAGAGGGCGCATTCTTAGGAGTGCCTTTTGTAGCTACTTGTTTCCTGGCGCTTCACCACCAGTGGATTTGCAGGCAGTCTGCTTTGTAGGAACCATGATACAGGGACTTCTTTACCCCTTTCTTCAGCTGGAGCTCAGCGAGCTAGAGGCAGCGCTGCTGTTGGAGAGCAACAGTGGCACAGTGGCGGCTGCAAATACAATTGGCATCAGTTTTCTATAACAAGATCCTTTTTGTGTGACTACCTATATTTAAATTCATTCTAATATTGACTAGTTTTATTTGTAGAAGTTTCATATTTGGGGGAATTGAGATGGGAGAGGGCGCAGATCTAGAAAGACAGGAGCAGAGATGCACATAATAGCACAAGCCTGTGGACCCAGCAGCCTGTAAGGCTGAGGTGGGAAGCTTGCAGGAGCCCAGGGGTTCCAGACCAGCCTTGGTAACACAGTGAGACCCCGCCTTTAAGTTAATTAATTGGTTCATGGACCAAAGCAAAGTAACTATACCCTTGGGTTGGAAGGACAGCAGAGAGTTGAAAATGAAGTACTGAGCCATGGGAGAATTAACCTACAATATACACTTTAAGTGAAAACTCTTGTTCCCCTTTGGAGAGTCCACCCAATAAAATTCAGATAATAGGGAGATATTTTTTTAGATCTGTTTCACTACCAGAACCAGATTTTTTACTTTCAGTCTCTACAAGCTTTTCATTTCACATATGGTCACAAGGTACCATCTTCAAAAGCTGCATTTTAACTCAGATAGAGTACTTCCTGATGGTTAGTGTATAAAAGATGCCCGATAACTGTATTTTTTAAGATCGAGGTGGGTACATTTCTTTGTCAAAATATTAATCATTTTTTAATTTCTTATGTACAATGTACTATTGTTGGCTGTTTTGAAGGACAGAACATTATGAGGCATACTTTTGAGACAGAAAAATTTAGACATGACATAGGCTTACAGGAAATAAGTTGTAATTGCTAAAAGCAGAATGTATTCTGTTGAGTTAAATATTATAGTTACCATCCATTTGGTTAAGCTTTTTTAAGTAAAGTAGCTTGGTATTTGATATAGTCAGGTTGTGTTTCTACTAAAAAATAACTGATTGGTCAAGAGTTTAATGGACTAAACCTAAGAATCAATGAATTGAAGAGCTGATTCTTTGAAAGATTAAATAAACTAGACAAACCTTTAGCCAACCTTATCAAAAGAAGTAGAGAAAAGATTCAAATCCAAGCAGTTAGGAATGAAGAGGGCTAAATCACAACAAAACCTGCACAAACCCAGATCATTAATAACTACTTTGATAGCCTGTCCTTTAATAAAATGGAAAATTCAGAAGAAATGGCTAGATTCCCAGATACATATGAATATCCAAAGCTGAATCACGAAGATATAAAAATTCAAAATCACCTATTATCAGTACATGAAACTGAAGGAGTAATTAAAAAACTACTAAGAAAGAAAAGCCCAGGTCCTGACAGATTCCCTGCTGAATTCTACAAGAACTTTAGAGAAGGTCTACTGCCACTACTCCTCAAACTCTTTAATGAAATTGAAAGGGTAGCAACAATTCATGGAAGCAAACCAGAGAAGAATCCAAGCAAAAAAGAGAGCTAAGGCCAATCTACTTAATGAACACAGAAGCAAAAGTCCTCAGTAAGACACTGGCACATAGAATGCACAAATCTTGAAGATTATATATATATCATGACACAGGGATGCAGGAATGGTTCAACATATATGCATATCAATAAAATGTAATGCACAACATCAAGAGAACTAAGGACAAAAACCACACAGTCATCTCAATAGACAAGAAAAATATTTGACAAAGTGCAACACCCATTCATGATTAAAAAACAACCCTATAGAAAATTGAAATAAACAAAAAGAAAAAAGAAAAATCCCATAATGGACAATGTGAAATAGGAAGAAAAGGGCTAAAGGTGTAGGGGAAATGGGAAGGGTGGGGGAAAGGTAATAAAGGAAAAGAAAAAGAAATGAGAAAATGGAAAAATGGAAATAAAGTATTTGTAAGTAGGGAAGGGAGGAGGGGGTGAAGGGAGGGCAGGGATAAGGGGAAGAAATGAGAACCAAGACCTGTCATGTAAAGGTTCAAGATCCCAATGATGAATGTAACTGTACTGTATGCCTAAAATGTACCAATAAACTCAATGAGAAAAAAATTCCTAACGGGCTGCGGATATAGCTCGGTGATGCAGTGCCTGTCTGGCAAGCATGAAGCCCTCAGTTTGATTTCCAGTACCAAAAAAAAAAAAA